CAGCCTGTGTCTGTGCTGGGGATTGCCCCAAACCATATACAGGACCTTGCACTTGCCCTGGTTGATCTTCATGACGTTCACACGGTCCCACCGCTCCAGCCTGTCCAGATCCCTCCATCCCTTCCCTCCAGTGTGTGTTTTCTGCACTTCTACTGTTTTAAATTTGGTGGGTTTTCCTGTTATTTTACTACTAGGGAGGAAATCACCCACCGGGGCAGTGAGGGAGAAGGTGGAATCCCATTGGAACATCACTATAAGGAAGGTCAGGGTTACAGGTACAAGCTGGGTGCTGCAGAGCCCACGGGAGTGAGTGGGAGCATTAAGAGGGGGGAAAAAAAGGGCAATAATTAAAAAACCCACCAGATTTTAATTGATTCAAGTGCACCAGGAAGGGAAATGCCCCAGAGCAGGACAGCATCAGCTGAAACCTTCCTTCACCTTTTACAGTTACAGAATAGAAAAGAAATCCTCGTTCACGTTACAAATACAGTCCTGTATAAAAACAAGCCAACGGAAAAGGGGGAATAAGGAAACCCAAAAGGTCACGGCGCCAGTGCCTGGCTCCCACCGAGCTCAGGAGGGAGGGCAGCTCCTCTGAACAAGCTAGAATGATTCCAGGCTTTTCCTTCTGCTTCCTGCTGGCTTGGAGAAGGGTTTTGAGCAGGTGGGTGCCTGCCCTGCCCATCCCATCCCACCACATATCATCCCATCCCACCGGTCAGAGAGAGCATCCTTGGTCCTGGAGAGGAAAATCAGCCCTGGAGATGCTGTTGTTGCTGGAGCTGGGCAGTGCTTGGGGCTGGGGATGTGGTTTGGGGGAATCTGTTGCCTGAAAAACATTATTTTCCTTGGAAAAAATAGGGGAAAGGGAGGAAAAATTATTGCCTGTAGAGTTCGCAGCTTGGCTGGAGGCGATGGAGGGGCTGGGGCGGGGATGCAGCCAAATCCAGGGGGATTTGGGCTTGGGCAGCTTGGGCTGTTGGCACTTCCCAGCTGCTTGTTGGGAAACACAAAGAATATCCCCATATAACCCCCGGGATGGGAGGACAAACCCCTGGGAAATTCACCCCCCACACACACTCACAGATGCCAAGGGCGGGCTTGGGGCCAGATCCAGGAGACACCACATCCCACCTCCAGGAAACAAAGGGGAAGAAGGAGGTTGGGGGGAGCCGGGATGCTTCATGGAACTTCCTTTTCCTTCCAGCTTCCTCTGAGGTGTTACTTCCCAGCTCATCTCCATTCACAAAGCAATCGCTGCCCAATGGATCTTGAACACTCCCCCCCCCCAGTAACCATTCCCCATGTCCCGATGTCGCCCCACTTCTGCTGCCAGACCTGATGGGGTGGATTTGCCCCAAGATCCCACATGGATGGAGGGACCGGGGGGGTTGCGAGGCCCCGGGGTGCCCTGGGGTGGGCAGAGCGCTGGTGAAGGCACGGTGTTGGCCGGGGGGTCGTGTTCAGCCACTGCTCAGGCACTTCAAATTAATACAAATTAACCAAACCCAGTAATTAAAAAGGAGAAAACCAACCCAAAACATTCATGAGATGCATTAAAACAGCCGGAAAGGGGCTGTGTCAAAGCAGCATCAGTATTGCCAACTTTGAGCAAGACCCCCCCCCAAAATGTGGGAGGGGTGGGGGGGGCTTGCAGGAGGATTCGGAGTGCTCTGTGTTCCCCCATGTCCCCAGGCTGGGGGGGAATTGAGGCAAGATGTTGACAGCCGGATCCAGCTCCTGATGGCGAAGGGAATCATCCCAGACCAAACCCCTTTGACACTGTTCCATTCAGCCAGGGGGACTGGGAAATTCCTTCCAGGAGCAAAACCCCCATTTTTGGGGCCAGCCCAACTCCCAGACCCAGAGTTTCGGGCAAGTGTCCCAGCCCTGGAGGACGAAGCTGGTCCCTGTCCCCAAAGCACTGTTCATCCCCCACTCCTGGTCCTAGTTTGCTCCAAACCAGCTGGGTTTTGCCCCAATCCTGCTCCAGCCCCCTCCTGCCCAGAACACCAGGAAGGGCCCTGCTGCTCCAAGGGAAAACCAGGCTGGGAGAAACGGAAGAAAATGGTGTCCAGTGAGTGAAGCCACGTCCCTGCGTGTCCCTGTGTCCCCATCCCGGGGAGGCTGTGGGAGCCTGAGGGGTGGACACAGCGTGGGGGGGTCCCCCCGTATCCAGCCCCCCACCAGTCCTGCTGTGGGTGCGTGGTTCGGGCTTGGAGGTTTCCAGGCTGGATGGATGTGCAGCTCCTGGCTCCATCCTCGGGGGTCTTGCAGGGTGCAGGGAGGAGACGGATGTCTTGGCATCGTGTCCCCCCCCTTGACGGGGGTCGTGTCATTGGGTGTGGGACAGTTCACTCTCAGGGGTCCTGTTGCATCTGGCTCCCTCGCTGGGCTGGGGCTGGATCCAGAGCAGGTTACCCGGACCTGGGGGGAAAGAGGAGACGAGGTGTTAGGGGTGAGACCAGCGGCAGAGAAAGAGAATCAGCCTGGTTTGTGTTGAAGGGACCTTAAAGCTCCTCCAGCTCCAACCCCTGCCCCGGGCAGGGACACCTTCCACTAGAGCAGGTTGCTCCAAGCCCCTGTGTCCAACCTGGCCTTGAACACTGCCAGGGATGGGGCAGCCACAGCTTCTCTGGGCACCCTGTGCCAGCACCTCAGCACCCTCCCAGGGAAGAGCTTCTGCCCAAGAGCTCATCTCAATCTCCCCTCTGGCAGGTTCAAGCCATTCCCCTTGTCCTGTCCCTACATCCCTTGTCCAAAGCCCCTCTCCAGGTTTCCTGTAGCCCCTTTAAGCACTGGAGCTGCTCTAAGGTGTCCCTTTAAAGAGCCTTCTCTTCTCCAAGGAACATCTCTCAGGAAGGGAGGAGATGGATTTCCCCAGCACCTCTGCACCCGCTGAGGTCTCCCCATCCTGCTGTCTCAGCACCAGTGTCTCTGCCATCAGCTTCTGGCTCCTCTCTATATCTAAAATTGCTGTTCCCACTGATATCCCCAGATGCTGCCACTTCCAGCACTCATCCTGCAACCACTAGGGACACTCGACCCACAGCAGCCCCCCCGCAGCACCCTTGTGCCCCCCAGCTGGGGAAGGAGCAGGCAGGTCACCCCCTTCTCCTGCTTCCCCCATGGTGGCTCCAAGGGGGTTCCTTGGGGGACACCATCCACAGGATGTGTCCCATCCATGGGACAATGCTCTGCTGGGTCCTCCCAAGGGTGGGCACCTGGCTGGACACCAACATCCATCCCCATGATGTGTGTGCTCCCACCCTTGGAGTGACACCATCCATGTCCCCATCCCTGGAAGCTCCCACCCCACCATGCCCCACTCACCCTGGAGGGCTGTGGTGGTCCTGGGGAAGGACCAGCTCCATGCAGTGAGGCGCAGCACCCATGGGTGCTCATCTATGCACTGGGCTGGTCACACGAGAGCCTGTGTGTGCCCAAAGGCCCAGGGAGGGCTGAGCAGCATCACAGATGCATTTGTTCCACCACAGCTCTCTCATTGCAGGCCCTGCCCTTGAGTTTGCACAGAAGGCTTCGGATATAATTAATTCCCAACACCCGGCACGAGGCGAATCCCTTTGGATTTCACAGCCTTATCTCGTTTCAGCCTTTACCTAGTTAAGCTTAATGGGGAAGGGAGAGGAGGGGAAAAGGCACTTATCTGCAGAGCTGCTGCTCCCCACCTCGCCTGTGGGGCTCAGCAAACACAAAGCAGCAAACAAGGGCATGAGCCCCCCTAAAACTGCCCAACCCCAGCCCTGATGGAGACCCTGGTCTCTATGGACTCAGACCCACATCTTTTGGGTTATGATGGTGCAATTGGAGGGGCTCCTGCATCCCGGAGCATCCCAGAGCATCCCCAAGGCTTCCCAACCCGGCACAGACTCACGTGTAGAGTGGCTGGAGTAGGTGTGATGTCTTCTGTGGCGCCTGGTAGCCATAGGAGTCAAACCCGCCAATGAAATCGACTGGAGAGAGGGGCAGAGGAGCGAGGTGAGCTGGGGAGGGTGGTGGGGACACTTCCCTGCCTCCCCCCACACCAGCGACACCCATGGGTGACATAGCATCCTGGGTTGCAGCAGCGCCCTGGGGAGATGCAGCAGACAAGTTGCGGCAGCAGCCCAGGGAAGTGCAACATCTCAGTCTGCCCTGGTGTCCTGGGTCCCTGCAGCATCCCAGAATCATGGAATGGTTTGGCTGGGAAGGAACGGCAAAAACCAGCCAGTTCCAACCCACTGCCACAGGCAGGGACACCTTCCACTAGAGCAGGTTGCTCCAAGCACCTGTGTCCAACCTGGCCTTGAACACTGCCAGGGATGGGGCAGCCACAGCTTCTCTGGGCACCCTGTGCCAGCACCTCAGCACCCTCCCAGGGAAGAACTTCTGCCTCAGAGCTCATCTCAGTCTCCCCTCCGGCCGGTTCAAGCCATTGCCCTTGTCCTGTCCCTCCATCCCTTGTCCAAAGCCCCTCTCCAGGTTTCCTGTAGCCCCTTTAGGCACTGGAGCTGCTCTAAGGTCTCCCCTTAAGGAGCTATTTCTCTTCCATCCTGGGTCATTGCACCATTCCACAATATCCTGGGGAAGTTCTGCATCCCAGGTCCTGGCAGCAGCTGTGATCAGAGCAGCATCACAGGGTCACGCAGCACCCTGGGTCACAACGACATTCCAGGTCTCAGTGGCATCCCAGGAAAGTGCCATTGTGAGACAGAGGAAAGGAGCTGGACTGACATGCTGAGATCCCTGTGCTCTTCTCGTCACAGCAGCTCTTGCATTTCAGACTGGACAAAGTGGGTAAAATTACCCTGTCATTGTCTCCAGAGTGGGCATTTAAGGAGAATTATGGGGGAATTGCTTCTCCTTCAAGGCCTGTCATTTAGGGAATTGCAGACACCCACAGACCAGTGTTCACTGGTGTGATTTCCAGCCTGGTGGCTCCTCACCCTGCAGCCAGCAGAGCCCATCACCCACCTATCGAGCTCACTGGAGGAGTCCTGGTGGCAAATCCCATCCCTTCACCATTGCTGGATGCAGTGAGAGCGATGAGGGGACCTCAACATCTCCCACAATCACCCCGTGTGTCCCCAGACCTGAACCCTCCACTGGCACAGCCATGACGGGCACCCCCAGGATGGAGTGTCCGAGCTGATACAGGAGCCACAGCACGACCCATCTCTCCAAAACCAACGTGTTCATCCCCATGGAGCAGTGCTCGGGGGGGGTCACACATTGCTGTCCATCAAACAGCAGCGAGCTCAAGAGGGGACGCAAATTCTCCCGGCATATTTATCTTCCCGACTTAGTATTCAGCCCACTCTCAATTTTGACGCCATCCATCCATCCATTTCCAAATCTAATATGATATTCCATTGAAAATATGCATTTGAATCCTGGGCTCCAGCAGCATTAATATTAAAAGTGTGTTGAATGCAGGAGTTGTTTGAATGCAAACACACTCCAAAGCCGGCGGCGCTGGATAAACCTTTTTGCGAGCTCCTTGGATGCAGAAACAAGTTATTCCCGCTGGCGGTGGCCACTTCCACATGGAGATTTTCCTTTTCCACTACACTGGTTCCCAGCAGGGGGAAAACACGGGGATGCTGCACCCTGGCATCTGCTGGGATGGGCTGGGACCATTCCTGGGTCTGTGGCACCATCCTGATCCCAGGGAAGGAGCCGGATGCTGGGATGGCTTTTGCCATAGGGTCCATTGCAGCGCATCCCTGCCTGCGGTGGCTGCTGGGAGCTGCTGGGAGCTGCCAGCTGGCAGGAATTCATTAGCAGCAGATGAGCATTTAATGTGGTTGGATGGCTCCAGCCTTCACAGCCTGGTTAATTGGGGTGCTACGTGCTTCCGGAGGGGGGTGTTGCTGGGATCAGATTGGAAAGCACAATATAGGTTGTGCGAAAA